TAGGCACTTAATGTGATCTTGTCTCGTAAGAAAATAAAAAGGCCTGGGTTGTAGCTCATCGTGGAGGCCCTGGTCCATCCCCAGTAGCACAAGAAAGGGTTCAAGTTGTTTAATGGCACAGTCCTACTCCCTCCACAGCACTCTTGCTGTGCAAGCCGCAGTTTGTCACCAGAAGTGGCTCCTTAAGTGTTTGTTAACTTGCTAACAGAGTGAGTTTTACACTGTGAATTGAGTGCAAGTTACCAAGGGAACTGTCCATGCAGGAGACATCAGCAAGTTACAAAAGTCACCTTGACACAGCCAGGCTTTAAAATCCAGGGCACTACATAAGGGAGGTGCTGGGGACCTGGTCACACACACACACACACACACACACCTGTAAACCCAGCCCTCAGGAGGCTGAGGCAGGAGGGTCACTGGGACTTCAAGGACAAAGCACCACGTAGACCCTAACTGAGGAGTAAAACAGAATCACCCTAATAAGTTCAGAAGTTTATGTACAACTTAATTATACTCAAAATGTGGAGAAAATCAACCTTAAGATATCAAAAGAAATTAGTATGCATACAGGTTAGGACACAGCATCTTGTCCAGATGTCATGTTTGTTTCTACAATTTTTTCACACGGAGTGCAATGTCAAGGTAAAATTCAGAAAAAGTTACAAGCTCTTTGGGAGGAAATGAAAGCCACAGCAGAGGCTTTGTTCTCTCGCCTTGCTCATTGGGGGCGGGGGCTCTGGCAGGGCGGGGGCTCACAGTAGAGCCTTGATTGCTGCCTAGCGCCACCTAGCGGTCTGGGATGTGAAGCTGTTCTCCGCAAAGATTGAAAATCACAGTGGGGAACAGATTTGACAAGTTAGGACTCCCAAGGCAGAGGAGTCATTTGGTTGTGTTTTATGTCAGAGAGCACACCTCCTTTCAACAATGGCTGTGTCACTGCCTCGGTACAGCGGTCACCTGAGGAGGAGTTTTGCTCGTATCTCTCAGGGAGAGCATCATGAATTAAATCCTCTTGTGCCCAAGGAGATCAGGAGAGGAAGCTGGCAGTGGCCTTCCGATGGGCATCCTACGACAAGCTTTGTTTATAGGAGAATTTCTGAAGAAAATTAAGAGCCTGATTTCAATTTTCCTCCTGAAATTGAATGAAGCAAAGGTTGTCGACTGTAGCGTTCTTTTCACCCCCTTAGCCAGACTTTTCTTTACTCTGCATGTTGTTGAAAATCAAACTTGGCCCAGGAATTGTGGCATATGCCTGTGACCCCAGCATTCTGGGAGGCTGAGAAAGGAGGATCTAAAGGTTGATGCCAGCCTGGGCATCTTAGCAAGACCTTGTCTCAAGAAAAATATTATTTGGGGACGTAGCTCAGTAAGAAGGCCCTGGGTTCAATCCCCCATACTGAAAAAAAAAAAAAAAAAAAAAAAAAAAAAAAAAAAAAAGAGGTAGGGGGGAATAATCAGACCTGCCAGTCACTTGCTTTCAGCATGCGCCAGCCCCATGGTAGAACAGCACCAATAGTTTTAAGAAGAATGTGAGAAGACTATCATAATTAAAAGCATCCTGCTGCTCTTTTTAAAAAGCATAACCATAGCTGTTTCCAGACACAAGGACCTTGAGAGCTGAGCTGTGAGAAAACTGCCTCTGCTGGCCATTCCCCCAGGGCAGCAGAAGCTGAGGTAAATCAGAGGAGCTCCGCCCCATGGAGCCCACTGGGCAAAAGAGGGAGATTGGAAAGCCTTCCTCCGCAGCCTCTTTCTTCCCTCCTGGCCTGAGAGCGGATAGAGTAGTGACCCAGAAGGTGACTGTCAGTATGCGAGGCCAGAAATGTTCCAGCTTGGTTAGGAGCACAAGGGTGGGAGTAGGGGTGGGGAGTACAAAAAAGGTGACAACTGGGTAGGAAGTTGGACCAGGTGACCTCTGAGATCAGATGGCCACTGAGCCCCAACTTTTCACTTGGAATCATACAAGAGTAGAGATAGTCTTCCCAATAATTCTAGGTACACTGAAACTACCTGGCAATGCTTAGTAGGAATGATAATATATGGCTGTATAAATGGAAGAATGGCAGAGAAAATGACACACCCAAGAGTTAATGTTATGGAAAGTATACGAGCATGAGGTGGTTAAATTATAAAAGAAACAGTCATTCTTCTTTTTCTGAGCCCCACTTAAGGAAGTTCAATGCTAGGAGCAACATTTAGATCCTAACTAGAAACACAATGTGGACTTGACAAGCATCAGGACCAGGCTGTCAGGGGGTCCCCAGGTACCTGTCTTGGTCAAAGGGATTGTGAAGAGTTGCTGAAGAAGCTTGTTTTCTGACGTTCTCAGGACTACAACCACATCAGCAGGGAGGGTGTCTCTGTTTTTCTCAAGAACCCCAGAAGCGTCATATAATACCTGCAACACAAACAGCAGGTGGCAAGTTGCCACGGTAACGGTCTATCCTGGAGAAAACAGTAAGTTATAAAGTTCATCTTGACAAAGCCAAGTTTTTAAATCCAGGATGCCAGATAAGGGAGGCACTGGGGCCATCCTGGCGCACTCCGGTAGCCCGGCCCCCAGAGGCTCAGGCAGAAGGATCGCTGCGAGTTCCAGCTTGAACTGTAAAGAGAACTTGTCTCAAAAAACAGAACAAAAACAAGCAAAGAAAGGAAAAACAGACAAGGGGGAAAGTTGTCATTTTGACAAGTCAACTTAGCTCTTTGTTCAGTTGTCTTTGAAGAAAAGGATCCTATCAAAGATCATTCATAACAAAACAACTATTAAAATATATTGAACCCTCACTACGTGTGAAGCATCCACCCTATGAGGGCAACATTATTGTCTTCATTTTACTGGCGAGCAGGTAGAGCCTTGGAACAAGACTGAATAACGTGAGTGGTAGTCAGGCAACAAACTGGTGCAAGGGAGCTCCCCTCTCACGCCAGCAAACTCTTGCACTGCCGGGGTACTCATGGGACCTGAGTGATCTCCCCAGGATGCTGGCTGAAAGTTTTTGGTTCTCAGGACAGAGGGAACCTGGCTCCAAGAATCTGAATATCCCAGAGAATCCCTTTTCTCATATACAATTAAAGATTTTTTGTGTTGTTTTTGTTTTAGGCCTGGGATTTGAGTCCAAGAATGCTCTAACACTGAGCCACATTTTCAGCCATTTATTTATTTATTTATTTATTTATTTATTTATTTATTTTTGAGACTGGGCCTTGCTGAGTCTGTAAGTTTCCTAGGCTGGATTCAAACCTGGTATTCTCATGTGTCAGTTGCCTGGCGTGTTGGGACTGCAGGCATTACAAATGAGCTTCAAATGACAAATGGTTTCAGCAACGAAACAGAGTCCAGAGAAAAAGGAATCTGCTTTGATTTAGGTCTTGACTGCTTCCCCGAAGCCTCCTGTGTTCAGATGTGAGATTGGAGCATGGGGGCATCGTGCTCCTGGGTTCATGGTTGTTAAAAGGTGCTGTTAGAGGTGCTATTAAAAGGCGGAGCTTACTCAGAAGAGGTGGGCATCAGGGGCATGGCCTGGACGGGAGCATCTCTGGTCCTGGCTCCTGCCTTCACTCTGCTTCCTGGCTGCCGGGACAGGCCAGCCTTCCTCCACAGCTGGCCCTTCCCCCACTGCGTTTCTGCCCTGGAGCCTGCCAGTCATGGATGAAACTTCTGTGAGCCAGGTAAGCCCTCCTCCCTTAAGCTGTGGGTGTTGGGCATTGTGTCACAGAAATGAGGAATGTGGCTGAGTTGGATCCTGGAAAGGGGAGGAAGGAGAAGAAAGGAAGAGAGGCAGGTAGGAAAATTGGTGTAACAGGAGGACTGGAAAGAGAGGTGACAGGAAGAGGAAGCAGAGAGAGCAGAGTGATGGGTCAGGAGAAGGTTTGGTATCTCAGAACTGGAGGACATTACAATGCACCAGGTATTAATGTTAAGGTAAATGAAGTAGTTAAGGGCACAAATGGGACTGCAATTCCTAACAAGGATCCAAAATACGCAGCATAAACTACTATGTGGAGAGAAACACAATCCCCTCTCCTTGTGTGAGAATTACCTGTCAGTCAGGCAAAATTAGTTTCAATACCATGCCATGAATGTGAAAGATACTTTTGCCACACCTCATATTGACAAAACAATCCCCAGAGCCTTGTGTTAAACTCCTATCCATTTTCTGGATCCAGGGCCTCAACAAACCCCGCAGGAACCAATTAGCCATAATTCAGGTGGCTCCTCTGGGAGCAATGGGAGCAATGAGTTGCTGGCTACAGAGCTAGAGAATTTCCTGAATCAGTCACTAATCTGCTTCAGAGCTTGAAACTGAGGCGGAAACATAATGTATGAGAAGTGGAGATTTCAGTTAATGTTGTAAAAGCTCAACATCTGGATAATGCTGTGGACCTCTCCCCCCTCATCTGGATCTTATGCTTATGTCAGTGTATGCCTAAGGTGCTGGAAACAGAGCCACACTGTGCTGTCTGCCCTCCTGCATGACCCGGGCCTCTCCAAGTGACTAGAATGTGAACATTCCCATGGAACACCATGACATCTGTAATGTGTTTTCTCTCGGGAGAGCTGTTGGCTCTGGGCCAGCCGTTAGGTGCGCATCAGATGGTGCTCTGTGGGCCACCCCAGCAAGATGCTGCTTCTGTGCCAGGCAACTTTCAGTGAGCAGAAGCACTGACTCAGGGTTCGAGAGTAATGAGGAGGAAGATGAAATCTGCACGCAGGCCCATGAGTGGCACCTGCAGGGCACTGCAGACGCTCACTGTGAGAGTCCGGTCTCACGACTCCGCCTGCTCACCTTTCCGGCGTAGTGCTGAATTCCGAAGCACAGCTCCACTCCTTTGGGCCTCCAGAAGTATTTGCATCGGAGATTATCTTCAAATTTATCTGCATGGGTTTTCAAATTGGAAAGTTACAATATGAATTATTCACTCTTTCAAATAAAAATATGCTCCTTGAGCCACCTGAGACTCAGAATCAAAGCTCTTGAACCATCCTGATGGTATCACGGTCTGTACAAAGGTGTGGAAAGCCCGCCCCCACAGTGGGCGCGTCCGACCTTGCCTTCCTCTGGTTGTTCAGTGTCATGTTCAGTGTCTAGCTGTGCCCAAAGATGGCAGGCTTGGTCTCCTCTGACAACTCCAGCATGGATGCTAGTGGTACCACAGGCCCTGTCAAGTGGCCTCCAAACCATGTGAATGTGCCACAAAAGCAGATGACACTTTCTGATCAAGGAGACTATGGGGCCAAAGAGGAAAGTGATCGATGATGTAGAGTGTGCCTAAGGAGTGTCACATGGAGAGAAAACATTCTTTCAGGCTTTCATAGAGAGTACATTGGCCAAGCAATGGCCGTGACTCATCCACATGGCTGACACTGACAAAGGATCTACAATCTGAGGTACAGGGTCTCAGGATAAATCCTGAGGGGATTTCACTGACCTTATCAGATCCAAAAACTACAATTCTTGTTACATAAGTTTTGCTTCATCTTAGTCTTAACGATCCAGCAGAAAAGTATAAAAACAAAGTACAAGAAATAAAGCCATTTTGTTATGTTGAGCTGTAGGGGACTCAGGTCAACAACTTCTGACATTGCCAGTCAAGAAGAAGACAAAATACTATGATGGACTACTGAACTATTTTGGAATATTTTGCTGAGTTCACACACTTATATATTTAAATGATGGAACTTAACAAAAAAAGGGGATACAGATGAATGTCCATTTCGTATCTGTGTATTCAAAATGGTTAGGATAGATGTATAGCTATACTCTCTTAATTTAAGGAATAGAGGGATTTGTTGTAATAGTGTTTGTAAATAGGATATCATTTCTGCATCTTGTACAAGTAACCACTAGGAAGGCAGTATGCAATGTGTTAATTATTGGAACTGTCCTACCAATTTGATCTGAAACTCATTGCTATTTATTTCTCAATAAAATTATAAAAAAACCAAATTTCTTGTGCAAAAGGTTTATTTTTCTTGGAAATGTAGTGTTCTAAGTTTAATAAATTCAGAAATTTTAAATATTTAATATTTATTGCCTACCCATTTCTACTTTGAGAATTCTAATTATATGAATATAAATTTCTTGATTTTGGCACAGAGTGAACTATTATGTGACTGATCTGTAAACTCTTCTTCATTTTTATTTTGGACAATTTTTATTGTTATATTCATTTAAGTTTGTGAATAATTTATTTACAATGTGCAATCTGTTATTAATCTCATGCTATGTATTCATTTCAGAAATATTTCTCTAAAATTCACTCTGTCTACATCTTATCTTTCACATTTCAATATTTGTCTACAATTTTTAATATGCTATGTAATTATTGATTTTCAATAAAATTAATGAAAAAAAGAAAGCAGATAACACAGACTTAACCTTAGCAATGACATTAAGTATTAAAGAAAACCACTGAAGATGACAGTTTGCTCTCCTAGAAGTGACCATCTCCCACAGTCAATTTTCCGAGTATAAAGTTAAAACTTTCTGAGTGTTGCTCACAATGTTTGCTGTGTCATAGTTGCCAGGAGAGAAGAGCCTGATGCTTCTGAAGAGCTACATTTGGCTTTTCTTCCATTGCCACCCCAAATACCTTGCACTCAGCACAACTCCCTCAGGTCCCCCATAGCCACTCCAACAGACATAGGCTTGGGCTGCAACAGGCATCAGGCACAGACTTAGCCCAGAATACTCTTCCCCGCCACCTCTCTGAATGATTCTACCCTCCATGGCCCTTCTCAAATAGATCCATGAGGGGCCTCTCTCCTACCCATAAACAAAGTCTGGTTCTGCACACACAAAAGCTCCCGTTTTTTCCTATGTAAGCAACATCCCCTAATCCTTAACGGTTTGAACACACTGAAGCACAGGTCCTAGAAAGACTTTTGAATGGTATATTCTTGCCTATTCATTTGTGTCTTACATTATAGCATGCTGACCTGGAACACTAAAAGCTGGTAACACCAACTACTGGCACTGAAGACAGCCAGCAGCTGGAGTTTATGATGCCAAGGGTTGTTGGCACCAAAAGCTACCAGCAGCCAGAGCAGGCAACACCAAAGGCTGTTGGTGCCAAATGTTGCCAGCGACTGGGGCTTGCAACACTGAGGAAGGCTACCTGCAGGGAATGGTGGACAGCAACAGAGGATTGCTGGGAATCACCAACTCCAGTAGCAAGAAGAGTTCCTGAGGCCTGGTGACAGCTGTTTGCTCCAAGAAGCGAAGAGGGTCACAAACATTCAGGGCTGATAGTCACTGCTAGAAGCTCAGGGATTGCTGTGGTTAGTATCCAGTTGTCCCTCACAATGCTACCTGTGCTCACAGGTAGGGCTTTGGGGAGGTGATAGGACCTTGGGGGTGTGGCACTCATCTGTGGATAAATGTGACCTTGGGAGGAGGCGGTCACTGAGGCAGAGCCTGGAAGAGTGTACCTTCCTCCTGCCTTCCTTGATCGCCCTCTGTTTCCTGCCTGCCTGCCTGCCTGCCATAAGCTGCTTCTCCTGCAATGCCTCCCTGCCCTGCCACCTGCCTCGGAGCCAGCCAACTATGGGCTGAAAGCCCTACAAGCTCTTCCTCCTAAGAGTAGTTGTGTCAGGTATTACATCTCAGTGATTCTAACAGGCCAGTTAGCACCAAAAGCACTGTCTTCTAACAACTTATGATTTCTATATGAAATGAGCAAGAATTCTCAACCTATTGGTGAGATCTTAGAGGTCTTCCCCTTTAGCAGGGCCTTCCCCTTTAGAAGTCCCTGAAAATGAGGGAAGAGAGTGGTGACAGTTCTCATCAATGGAAAAGCAGCTCAGGAACTGGCTCACCTCTGACCTTCTTTTTACCTGTGGCTAAGAATTCATTCTAGTCAGTAATATGAGATCCCTGTTAAGTGCTAAAGAGATACAAGAACGCAGACCCTGTCATGCAAGGACTGTCACAGTCTAGGTCAGGAGCAATGCTTGGTAGTGTACAGCTAAAGATTGTGATGGAAGTGGAGACAAAGGGGCCCAGAGAAATAAAAGAGGGTCTTTGATGTCACGAGGAGCTGTCCTCTCTTCATCACCAGCAATGTAGGGAAAAGGTGGCTTAGGAAGATTAAGTAGCCCCAGGTGTCTAGAGGGGAAAATGGGAGTCTGAAAGCTGGAACTTGGAAAAGGCTTCTGCACTAGCAGGACTAGAGGTGGCTGGAAAAATGAAAAAGTGGAAGGACTCAGGGGTGGTGATAGGTTGACCTGAAGACACAAGTTCTGCCAGAACATTACGGTTCAATTAAAAATGGTTTCAGCACTTTACCCCTGACCATGGGAGAATCAGCAAAGCACATTCATTTGGTGACAGGAACCAAGTTCTGTTCGCAGTGTATGTGCTGCTTTTCCAGCAAGGTACCTACCAACCAGGGTCTGGTCTGTCGCTTGGGGAAACCGACTTTCCTCATCCAAGAGTGCAAGCAGGCCCAAGGGTTTCTGGAGGAACATGTCCAGCAGTGGCCGATTGTCCTCATACTCCACAGGGATGGCATTGATACCTTCATTCTGATATTCCATCTGGAGGGAAATGGATTGTCACTCACTCCAGCCTGAAGCTGACACCTCGGTACCCCCAGGATACTTTGGCCTAGACTTTCGGGGTCTGGCAACCTTCAATGCATGTGGAAAACAGGTTGTGCTTTATGTCTATAGTAAAGGAACCAGCTGCAGTTCAGACTGTTGAAGCTGGGTGTGTAGATGTGACTTCCAGGGGGCCTGCGATAGGCAGCTCATGAAAGCAGAAGCGGTCTCCTAAACACAGATCTGAAAACTTATAATTTAGAAATGCATTACAGGAAAGGGGAGAAGTGGAAACAATTTTTTATTTTGGTGGCAAATATACCTTCTACCAGGAAGGAAGTAGACATCTATCTTCCTGAGGGAAGCATTTAGGGAAGGAAAACTGCAGCTGGAAGGAACTTAGACAGAAGCAAGGTAGGATTTTGTGCAAGGTGATGGGAAAAGATTGAGCTCCAGATTTCTCCAGCTCCTGGGATAAAACCAGCACTGGCACAGTGCTCTTACTCACAGTCTTTGCTTTTATCTGGTTGCTGCAGATAGATGTATGTCTTTACTGTTGCATATAAGCAACTATCCCTGCACCCACGTTCTAACCAGGGCCTGGTTAGAATGTCAGTTGTTGCATCTCCTTCACACTGAAGTTTTGGGGTTTACATAAGGATTAGGGTGATGTAACCTCTTCTGCTGCAGGAGAAAGGCCTCTGGCCCTTGGGTCTACCAGCTTCTTACCCTCCTGGACTGACCCCTGGGCCCAAGTGGGCAAGGCCTCCTCCATTCCTAGAAATTCAAGAGCATGTCTTGCTCCCTCCTGGAGATGCCCCTCCAGTTCCTGGGAGGTCTGGTACAGAGGACCGGGGAGATAGGCATGACCAGTGCAGGAGCTAAGAACCCATGTCCTGAATTCAGCACCGTCCTGTGTCATTTTGCATACATCATTGCAGACATGCTGAGCTGAGGTAGAAGAGAATGAAGCATTTCGAGCAATATGCATGAGTGAGTGAGTCTCAAAGCAAGATTTAAAGAATTGGCATGTCACCGGCTCCACTCAAGTGAGGAAACACAATTCCTCAGAATCTAAGATGGCTTTTTTCAGAGTAAATTTAGATTTTTTGGTTTACTTTTTAAGTTTAAATTTATTTAGGTATACATGACCACAGTCATTGTAGGGAATTTGTGTTTGTATATATCTCATTTCCTCTTTTTTTCTCATTCCCATCCCCTCTTTTCAAACCCCTTTCCACAACCTGTTCACAAAGCTCAGTTCTCATTTTATCCTTCTTCTATTTTTTCCCTTCCTTCCTTTCCCCTCCCTTTCTCTAAAATGTAAATAAGAACATAAATGTGCAATAGATACTGTGAAATAGAAAGAAACGGTGTTTTATTTGCTTGTTTGTATTTGGTACAGGGTCCCACTACTCTAGCAATCCTCCTGTTTTCGGCCTCCCCAGCACTGGGATTACAGGCAGGCGCCACCGTGCCTGGTCTCAGTGGCCGGCTCAGCACACCCGGGGGTGAGGCCAGTGCCTGTGGTGCTAAGGTCCCTGTGCTTGTCTAAGCAGGTGCTTAGTCTGCTGAGCTATCATGCCAGCCCTTTGGTTATTTATTTTTGACATGATCATCTCACCAGTGGTTTTCCTATACAGCTTGTTTGTTTGTTTGCTTGTTTGTTTTTTGTAGGGGGCAAGGGTAACTGAAGATTAAATACAGGGCCTTTCATTGAGCTATATCCCCAATCATTTTTATTTTTTATTTTGATACAGGGGCCCTCTAACTCACTAAATTTCCTAGGCTGGGCTCCAACTTGTACTCCTCCTGCCTCAGCCTCCCAGGGCAGTGGGGTCACAGGCATGTGCCACCATAGCAGGCCCTACAAGTCTTTCACCTGTTAGTCTAACAGGGTTCTTACTTCCACTCACAGACAGCTTAGCAACACCCTTTCCCCATTAGCTTGAGTAACACAGATTTCACTCTTACCTGCTCTAGAGCAAACACATGCTGATTGAAATAGTACTGGATTTGCTCATTGGCAATGTTTATGCAGAGCTGCTCAAAGGAATTTCTTTGAAAATTCTCAAATCCAAAAATATCCAAGATCCCCACATTCATTCCTTGGTCTGCATTACTGTATGAGAGAGATGAACAAAATTGTTAGGGGAAGAATCGTCCATCCCACGATGATGAGAACAGATGTGCACGAAAGTCCATCAGCTCGTGTGTGAAAGCATGTCCTGCCACCTCCAAGGAGAGATAGTTTGTGTCCTCGGGCATAAAAAAGGATCCTTTAACAACCTCACTTTGGAGATCCTACCTAAATAGGTGATGGGGCTGCCACTTCTGCCTTCTCCCATCTACCTACCCGCAAAGCTTACCTGGGGCAGCACTCTTTCTTTGCACTGTGGTGTCACTTCCTCCCAGATGCTTGGGGAGAAAGTAGCAAAGAATGTAGGATACTACGCTTTGGAACTTGTCATGAAATATCTCATTTGATTCTAAAATCACCGTAAAGAGGACACTGTATCCTCATTCTACAGACGGAGACGTATGGCTCAGAGTGTGCAGCTGACAGAGCTGTAGAGCTTGGGGTGGACTGGGTTTGTCCAGCTGCCTGCTATGCCCACCTGCATGGCTTCATCAATCACTCGCCTCTCAGGCATTAAACACTTCAGCTGTCCTGGACCCCGTGAGTCTTTTCAAGGTGAAAGCCTGAGAGCTGTGCTACAGAAAACCCAAGGGAGGATCCAACGCTTCCTCTTGCAAACCCAAAGAGACACCAGGTTGAAGACAGCCCTCCTGAACCTCTGCTTCCCTGGGAACTTGCCATATGTTTCTGTCGGGCTGCAGGAGTGTGTTGATGCGGTTCACAATCCAGCTGAACAGCCTCCCATACAGAGCTTTGGACATGGCGTCCCGGACGTCCGCAGCCCTGTCCACAGTGTTGGCACGCACGATGGTCTCACCCCTGGTGACCACACAGTGGGACGTGAGGGCCTCCTGCAGCTCTTCAGGGCTGATGCAGAGGACAAAGGCAGCTGGAACAGAAAAGGATGACATTAGGGAGTGTGGCCATTCTTTCATTCTGTTGTTCGCCCAGTATGTATCCGACATCGAGTCCACGCCAGGTTGTCCTGCATACTTCAAATTGAGATAAACAAGCAAGGTGCTTGACCCCGAGATGCTGTTGAACTGATCTGAAGGATCTTCACAGGTATTTGATGAAAAGGTAGTGGAGAGATGGTAGAGCAATAGCTGCCGACAAGATTCTTCTCTGTCGTGAAGTACAGTTCATTAATATAGTAAAAGCCCTAAAAAGTGCAGCAGTTTGATTCCATTCTTGGTAGAGAATTAATGTGACTCAGCTTGGGCAAGACCTAGCCAGAGACTTGGGCTCATTCAGAGTGCTGTTCTTAGGTATCTACTCAGGAGGTGACCCAGGCAATGGGTATAACTGAATAATTTTTATTCAGCTTATTAATAGGAAGGAATACCTTCTACTCTGTCAACCTGGCTGTTTGTTGGGAGAGAAGATTCCTGGTTGTAAGAGACAAAATTTAACTGTCACCTCATGTAGAATAATTCACCTTTCAGCTCACTACAGAATGAGTAGCTACATAGATATTTTTTTAAAGTGCTGCAGTTTAGCACAGAAAGGCTTTTACTCTATTTAAATCACTTTGATTTGCATAACTAAGATTCTCATTGTTTGCATCACCATAGTAAGAATAAACAGATACCCACTTTCTCTCCAGCAGAGACTGAGTCAGTGAAATCAACCTTCTGTATTTTTTGTTTCAAAATCATACAAAGGGCCCTCAGCAGCTTCCAAGGTTGAGAACAAGTGCCCGAAGCTCCTGGCCATGGAATCTTTTCTGCAGAACACCCACCTGCTGCTTGTGGAAGCAACACTGATGAGCCTCAGAAACTTCTGAAGAAATATTAATGAAAACATTCAGAGCCAACAAACAGGACCAGGAAGAGCTGCAGTACACTCTATAGACTCGTTAAAAGCTACCCAAGTGAAAGAAATACACACGTGTGCTTTAGCAACACGATACGCACACAGTAGATATTTACCATTTTCCAAGGCTTCTGCATTCGGCACCTCACTCTTATCAGTTTGGTGTTGAGAGGAAATAGCTGCAAACTCAACGTTTCCAATGTTCAGAATCCCAGCCAGAATTCTGTACACTGACTGGACTTCCTGGAAAGGACACCAAGAACCACATTTGAAGGTCACTGCCAATGAAACTGACCAAGGACCAGAACCACGGCATAGACTGCTCATTATCCACCATGGCCATTTCTCCTTTTCTCTGGACACACACACAAATTCCCCAACCGCCTTTGCTCTTAAGGCTGCTACGTAACTAAATTTTAACAATGGATCAAGCAGAGGAAGGTGGTCTCCTGCAGCATGGGCCCTATGGGAGCTAGCATGCCTCTTCCTCGTTTTCACATCCATTACTGCTGGCCAGAGCTCCCAGAAGCCCAGCCTCAAGCATGCCATGGACAAGGGTGCTTTGCACCAGTGACGGATCATGGGAGCAGAGTCATTCTGCAGCCTGAGCCTCTGCCCAGGAATGATGATGTAAGAGGCAGTGTATCTTCTTTGTTCTTTATACTACTTTTTAGCCTCTTACCTTATCTAAAACCACCTCCCAAATTCAGGTATTTTTTTCCTAAGTAAAAGAAGAAGTATTTTCTCTCCTCTTCTCTCCTTCTTCCCCTCTGTCCCCCACTTTCCCTTCCTCTTCCTCCCTCCCTCAGTGACACTGGAGATTAAATCTAGGACCTTCACATTGAGCTCCTTCCTCAGTCTCTTTATTTTTTATTTTGAGATAGGACCTTGCCAAGTGGCTACACAGGACTTGAACTTGCTGTCCTTTTTCATCAACTTCACAGTGCTGGGATTACAGGCATGAGCTACTATGCCTGGCTCCTCCATCCCTTTGGGTATAGTTTTCATGCAATACTTGGGAGGGCATACACTGATGGACAGCTAGAACATCTCAAAGCTATAAGACAGAGTCTGTAGCTGAATGCAGTCAGGAAAGAGTTTGAGAGACCCCCCCTAGAAATTATCTGTGATACAATAAAGAAATACATATTTGGCTTTTGTCCCCGGTTCTTGATAACAAGAGTTCCTAAAAGCTTTGCAACTGTCTGGGTGCTAAGGGTCTTGTTACACTGGTAATGAGGTTCTTTCAAATACACCTGAGTTTATGCTGATAACGTGGCTCATCTAGAGACTCTAGAGAGATTAATAGGGGTGGGGGTGCTGGTAGAGGGCTAAAGGTCTCAGTGCCACTACCAAATTCTGCACAGGGGAGAGGGGAGTTACCCACCAATGGCCAATAATGAATCATCATGCATATGGAGTGGAGCTTCCATAGAAATCATCAGCCAATGGGCCCCATAGGTTTCCCATGTTGGTGACTACCTGGGGGCACAGGGAGGTGGCAGCCCAGAGGGATGGTGGGCTGCCCAGGACCCCGTATAGTATATGTTGCCCTATGTATTTTTTTCTTTTGGCTATTCCTTAGTTTTATCCTTTATGGTAAATCTGAAACTGTAATCAACATGCTTGCCTGAGTTCTATGGGCCATTGTACAAATTATCAAATCCAGTCCTAGTCATGTCTAATTTATAATGTGTGAGTAAGGAGTACAGGAGGTCTGAGCCTGGTACATAACATCGGAGGGGGTCAGTCTTGTGGGACTCAGGCCTTCCAGTGGATCCGACACTAATGCCAAGAAATGAACTGAGTTGTAGGACACTTAGCCAGTGCCTGAGAGCAAGTTGTTGGGGTGGGGATGGGAGTGTTTCCATATATTTGACGTGAGAATTGTGAATAAAAGCAATTCAGTTTATCCAAGTATTATTTTTATAATGAAAATTGAATATATAAGCAATATCAATGCTTTATTGACTTTTTTAGTGTACAGATTCTGAGGTGAGTGTGGTGGTACACAACTGTAATCCCACTCAGGAGGCTGAGGCAGGAAGATCCCATGTTCAAGGCTCCCCTGGGCAATTTAGGAAGACCCTGTCTCAAAAATAAACTGGAAAGGGCTGGGGATGTGGCTCAGTGGTAGAGTACTTGCTTAGCTCAGTTTGGGGGCAATGCCTTATCAGGAGTCTGATGACAGCACCTATTAATTTGCTGCTGTGTATAGTACTAAATCAAACAACCTGCAAAGTATTTTTGTGGAAATATATACATATATTTTTTTAAAATCTATAAGCATAAAATGCAGAAACCCCCAGACTAGCTATTTCATTGAGCCTTCTTTAAATAGTCTTAGGAAACACAGGTGGGAACAGTGACACCTACTGGCTACCTGGTAATGTTACAAAGACAAATGAGGATTTTAAGCGGGGCTTCTACCGTAGATAAATAACATTGTTCTTCCAGCTTCTAAATCAAACGCAAGATGTCATGTTTCTAACTTCAAGAATCACTGTTTAATCACACAACTTAAAATTGGCTAGGGAGAGCACCTACCAAATACGTTTTCTGAGACTCGCCTGGATTTAACATGACAGCACCTCATTACCTTGATCAATACAGTACGAGGCTCACCGAATGCATCACGCCACTCCCCACGCAGCCAGAGCCGAGAGCGTGAGCCGGAGGCTGCCTCGCATCGAGCCCTGCCATGAGCTGCATCTGTGTGTAGTTATCTCTGGAGGGCGTCTGCAACTTTCTGTGCTCTTGGGGGAAAATGTGCTTCCTCTGACTAAAACACAAGCAGCCCCTTCGCGTACTGCGGCGCAAGTCGCGGAACCTCCCACAGTAAGGTTCCCAGGCTGTGAGCAGGTGGGAGCCTCCAGGGAACAAAACAGTTGTCAGCGACCGTGCTCTTGAGACCAGCACTGCACTTGCAGCTTCTCCAGCAACGTCCCCTTCAATGTCACGCTCAGGCCACCAACGAACGAGGAACACTAAACCTAGGACCTTAAAGAAAAACTTTTAAAGGCACGGGCAGCATGGGGCCTCTTCCTTGGTTTTGTGGGGGTGAAGCAGAGAGACAGCACCGGGCACTGCCTCATTAGGAGCTGCTGGCCTCTGCTCCCCTCTATTCCCTGACGTGATTCCTTTATCCCTATCATCATGAATGAAGCACTTCTTCCTTTTCTATAGAATCTTTCAATGTTACTATCCTTTTCATTTCCTATCAGTTTCCAACTTGCTATATCAAATGAAATAT